GATTTCGGTTTAAAAATAGTTGGTCGAAAGGAACGGTAAGTACAGTAAGACCTAAATATAACATAACTGCTACAGCAGAAATGATACTCACACTAAAATTACTTTTCGTCAACAGCGTCTTACCTTGGGTGCGCAAAACGCAACTATTTCTGAATGTAATCGCCTACTTCACGCTTCACGATTGGAAATTTGATTATGAAAATATGCGCGATGTCTGGGGGCGAATGGATCCTGTAGATCAAAAGTTATTCCTCTGCGATACGCGTCTGTTCGACTACAAGAAATGGTGTTTCACCTATATGCAGGGCATGAAGCACTTTATTTGTAATGATCCACTTGAAAATCCTAAAACAGCGGTGACCCGTTATAATCGCATAAGTTGGGTGCATTTAATATTCAAATACCTATTTTACTTTTCCCAGCTGCTTTTGGCATATGCGGTGGTAAAGGGTCTAAAACTAGATGAAGCATTCGCTAAATTAATAAGCATTAAATTTGGTTTAGGCAAAGGAACAGCTTCTGCCTAGACATTGACGAAATGTGTACTACCTATATATATATAATGCAAGCCTGCGATGGTTTCCCTTAAAAACTTTTTAGCAATTTGGGCAGGTATTAGGTAAATAGTAAACTATAAGAAAAGTAATAAGAAATAAAGAGAAAACTCCTTTTTCTTTTTTCCCTAATGTTACCGCGTTTTACCAGCGCTAACTTCGAATTTCCAATGTCTTTGAAATATACTTACAGCCAATTTGATGAAAGCAGTTTAAGAGAAAAATTATATAAATTTTTGGAATTTTATATGGAAATTGACAGAAAATAATAAAATCATTTTCCATTTAAATTGCTGGTGAAACCAGCTATTAGTCTCTTCACGATAATACAGTTGGTTTTTAAATTAAACTTTTCTCTTACGTTGATTAAGTTTTGGCTTTTCGCAAAAATTGTTAAAATATCTAAAATATACATATCATCAATAAACGAATAAATCTCAATTTTTCTGCTTGGGTATCAATTGAAATGAAAAACAACAAAGCTGTGAAAGAATCGAAGATCGGCATACACTATCACAGTTATCGAAATTTGGCGATATATGTGCATCGAAATTTATGGAGCTGGGAAAATTAATCAAGCTATGGAAATTATAAAAATGTTCAAAGTTTATTGAATTATTGATATGTATCGAGATATGTAAATTTTTTGGCAACGCGAGGGCCAACACAATCGAGAAAAGAATACAAATACAAACAAATAAATAGAGGCCAAGCGAATACTAATAAGAATACGAAGACGTACACAAATAAGAAGATGAATATGGAGACGAACAGGAAGATATATGTATGTATGTGAATAGTTATACGAAGGCGGATAATGGCGTTTTCGTTTCTACAAAAAATGTTGCCTTATCATTGCCCTCTTAGTATTTGTGCGTAACGCTAAAGCGAAAGTGAAGAGGGAAATAAATAAGAAGACGAATACGAAGACGAACACTAAGACTAAGGATAAGGTTAATATTAAGCTTAAGTAAAATGTGTGCAATATGAAGAGAACTAGAAATAAGTCGAGAGAAGTTTCTCTTTAGTAGTAGTCAGTAGTCAGTAGCAGTCAGTTTTTTTTTTTTGTAACTTTTTGTTAAGCAGAATTTTTATGTTAGGGCATTGTGTTCTTCTTCGTATTTGTTTTTTTTTTTGTTTCAGAATATTTCAACAGAGTTTTCGTGGTCTCAAAATTGATTGGAAGGTACCTCAGGCTTGTGTAAACATTGCTTATAGAGAAATTTTCAGTCATAATACTGTAATGCAAATAAATTGTTTAAAAAACACTAGAAAAGTGGTCGTAACTGGACCGTAACTGGCACTCCTAGTATAAATATTATATACCCTGACAACACTAACTTTCTATCTTTGGTTTAATTGTATTTCTAAGAATGCGTAAGAGTGAGATAAATTATCCAAATAATTGCAATGGGAAGTATGTGCCGCGCCGCAACTAATCACTTTCGCGGGGGTGCATAGCGTATGAGTAACACAATTTTCACAATTTCTCTACCAAACAATAGTTCTTCCATCTCTGCAATGAGAGATTTAATGAATAACAGAGGGCGCCCATAACTCACGCAAGTGACTACTTTAGTAACTCAGGGTAGTACAGAGAGAGCCGATGGTGACTATCGCCTAGGAGATTGCTTTGTAAAATTAATCGCTGAAACACACTGCAAGTAGTCGGTCGGTAATTAAAGGAGTTTATCAGGTAGCCACCAATTCATCAGTCCTGTAGTCGCGCCCCCGTATTACAGGGTTACTCTAGCTTATCGATGATTTTCAATCATTTTACCCCATTACAAACTCTCTCCCGTAATTACAAGTGATTACCTATAAACTTGTACCGCAAATTATTGTACGCCAGACAGCATTGTACTATATGTATATTCCCTATGTATACTTGTATGGTTACATACATATGTACATACACATACATAAGTATTTATGTTTGTATATACGCTGATATACGAGACCGACTTCACATAAAAGCCTTTTTATCTGGTCGCTTAACGAACTAACCAACCACTTGAGTAACTTTCAAGAGAATCACGGATCTAAGTCCACTTAAGTTCCTACATATATATATACATATGTGTGTATATAGGTATATATGTACACATACTTACGTGTACTGTACGTGGCTACATACCTATTCGCACTAAACTTCATACAAACATTAACTGTTGTTCACTTCCTACATATCGGGTCGTCTATGCATTGATGTACAGATGCATGTAGGCTTTACGTGATTACCTGCCAAAAGGCTTTAATCACGGTGCCCGCACTTGGCACGACGGATTAATTTTTGCATTAATCACTGCCCTGAACTGCAAGCACTTCAGTACCAATTGGCAGTATGTGGTGGACACACTTACCACCTTGGTAGGGCCGAGGCCTACCTAAACCTCTGACGTTCTCTGGATCTTGACATCCGGTTTCAATGCAACTCCACATTGAACCATTGCTGGTTCTACCCGCATTTAGGTATTAAACCACAGCCCCCACGATACTCCCCAAAGGGGCCGCACCCATTAACAGACCGGAGTAATGCTCGCCGGCGAGATTTGCTCGACTGGCTCAACTCACCCTGACCCACTTAACTGACTCAGCCCACACTAGAACAACTTACACGACTACTACACTCCACATTCATACTCCGTCTTGCTCGTCTCACAAGTCTACTCGCCTCGCTCGTGGGCACCCTCCACATTCTCCAGTAGAGGTGACACCACTCGCTCAGCTTTCGCAACGGATCGAATTGCTCAACATGTGCACAACTTTTTCAACATTTTCCAACTGTTTCCAACAGTTTCCACATTTCCTTTGATTTCAACTTTTATTCAACTTATTTTCACCCTTTTCTAGTCGTGTAAGCCATGCCAGTGCTTGCCTTGCCAGCCTTGCAAGCCTTGCAAGCCTTGCTTGTGTCGCCAGTTTTGCTCGTCTCGCCGACGAACACACTCCGGGGGCATCTGTTCCCCGTGGCACCATTTTTAAAGTCTTTGGTATGACTCTCGAAAGCCGTACACTTCTTCCAGTTGAGCCTCCACCGACTCAGGACTGGTAGCCTTTGACTGGGGTACCCGGGATTGTGACATCCGTAGCCTCGCAAACGCGAAACCCCCCTGGGTTCGTTGGTACGGTAATCTCCACATCGGAAACTGCGTAAGCACATGTCCTACACAGGTTCCCATGCGGAGCATCCCTGTTAGTTCATGCCGACATGGAAACCCCTAAGGGCCCCCATGTCACCACTTAAGATCTAGCCCCGCGTCAAGGACACCAACGATCGCTAGATGCATTGACGTACAATAATATTCATACCTTCTAACAGATAATGAGCTTATGGGCAAATTTCACGATTTGTTTTTTTTTTAGTGTCAATCCCTTCTCTCGCCAGAAAAAAAAACGCTAAACAATTAATGGAGCTCCAGAAATAAGTTTGATAAAAAATAAATAAAGTACTTTAAATGTTTTAGCTTTAAAATATTTATTTAGGCGAAAAAGTACCGAAATTACTTATTTTCCATTGTCGTTCGAAAAAATCATAATTAGTTTTTTAATTAATTTGGTAAGTTTTCAGACAGAATGTTTATATTAGAGGCAATGAAAGTAGGCACCAAGTATAACATATCTGTGAAGTTTCAAAAGTGTGCCACCAAACTTAAAGGAATGCCAGAATATCTGTGGCAGCTATTTTGTATTAAGGCGTGCGAGTAAACGTGGTAGCTGCCTGTGTCGGGTGCTGCAGGGCGTATGCGTTACATACACAACTATGGATATATGAGCACGAGTTGTTTTTGTGGCTTGTTAACCGACTTTACAAAAAGGAAAAGGTTATCAACTCGTCGGAATATTTTATTTTTAATTTTTTTTATATATGTTACCGCGTTACTTTGGACCACGTCAACCGATTTCTATAATTTTTTTTTTTCTAAAGTATACTAATTTGGTTTAAATCTGTTCATTGGATCATGAAGAAATTAAGAATAATCTTAATTCTGTATATAAAAATTGAAGTCTTGTTTTTTATGCAAAATGCATTGTTCAAGGTAAGTGTCCTACCATTTTCGACCAAAAACCACTTTTTTTCGAAAAATGTAACAACTCGTGAGATTTGTTCATAGACTTATATGTATATGTATGTACATGTATGAGTTTAAACATATGTATATATGTACATATTCATCTGCAACCAAGCATACCTAGCATGTCAACATACATAAATGTAAGTGCACAGTTAATCAAGAACACTT